TCATACTTTTCTTGGGGTCTAAAGCCTAATTTTTTAAAATTTTTTTAATTTTTATTTTTTTTGACAGGCAGAGTGGATAGTGAGAGAGAGAGAGAGAGAGAGAGGGAGAGGTCTTCCTTTGCCGTTGGTTCACCCTCCAATGGCCGCCGTGGCCGGCGCGCTACGACCCGTGTACCGTGCCGATCCGATGGCAGGAGCCAGGCACCTATCCTGGTCTCCCATATGGGGTGCAGGGCCCAAGCACTGGGCCATCCTCCACTGCACTCCCTGGCCACAGCAGAGAGCTGGCCCGGAAGAGGGGCAACCGGGACAGAATCCGGAGCCCCGACCAGGACTAGAACCCGGTGTGCTGGCGCCGCTAGGTGGAGGATTAGTCTAGTGAGCCGCAGCGCTGGCCTAAAGCCTAATTTAAAGAAATCAGTTGTAGGGAGAAGAGGATAGTGAGAGAAACTGAAAGTTCATGAAAAGAAATAATTATTTCTTTAGTGACTTTGCATTTGAACTTGTAATTCTCCCACATCTTTTCTACTTAAAATTTTAAGATTTCTGTGCCAGCAGTCAACTTGCTAAATAACTACATGTACTGCCCTGTAACTTTATCTGAAAGGCAGAGGAGTGTGGATCTTCCATTTGCTGATTGACTCCCCAGATGCTGGGCCAGGAGCCTGGAGTCCCCTCCATGTCTTTTACATGCGCGGCAGGGGCCTAAGCACCTGACCCATGGGTGCCTTCCCAGGAGCACCAGTAGGGAGCCTGCGGGACCCTGGCATGGGATGCCAGCGTTTCAAGCAGTAGCCTGATGCACTGTGCCGTGGCATTGGCTCCTACTCTTGAATCATTCATGTACATATTTTTCTACTTGGCAGTAACTTTTAATTTCATTAGAAGATGGGTCCTAGAATTAGCTTTACTGCTAGTTGGGTAAATCATTGGCTCCTTGAACCAGGACGGGATTCGGCGTACTACTGCACATGGGCACGTCTGGCTCTGGGCTTGGAAATTTTTGAAAAAATTCAAAAGAATAATACCTTGTGATATGAATATTCTATGAAAGTTTAACTTGAGTTGTCTATAAAGTTTTTTTAGTTTTGAGAGTCAAAAGTCTTCGATCTGCTGGTACATTCCCCAGAAGGCCGCAACGGCTGTAGCTGAGCCAGCTGATCAGTAGCCTGGAGCCTCTTCCTGGTCTCCAGTGAGGTGCAGGGGCCCAAGAAATTAAGCCGTCTTTTGCTGCTTTACCAGGCCATAAGCAGGGAGCTGAATTGGAAGAGGAGCAGCCAAAACACGAAACAGCGCATACGTGGGATGCTGATGCCGTAGGCAGAGACGAGCCTGCTACATCACAGTGCTGGTACCCTAAATAAAGTCCTCGTGGAATGCCATGCTGGCCTTCCATGGACTGAATTGTTCATGGCTGCTCTGCCTAAATGGCAGAGTTTTGTTGGGACAGAAACCACAGAGCCTGCGTAGGGAAATACTTGCCATCTGAAGTTGTGCAGGCAAACAGCTCCCAGCTTCTGCTCTAGGGAATTGGACAGTTTCCATCTTGAGGTTTGTTGCTCTCCCCCATCATGTACTCTTCAAACTTTTTTCACCTCTCAGTAACCAGTTTTATTAAATCTTCTCAAATCTTAAAAATTTGAACAACAGTAATATACATAAATTTACCCTGTAAACTTTTTATTTTTTTAAAGGTTACTTATTTTGAAAGAAGGGGAGATAGAGATCTTCCATTTGCTGGTTCGCTCCCCAACTTGGCTGCAATAGCCAGGGGTGGGCCGGGCACTAGCCAGGAGCTTTATCCTGGTCTCCCACGTGGGTAATCTTCGCTGCTTTTTCCAGATGGATTAGCAGGGAGGTGTGTTGGAAGTGGAATAGCTGGAGCATGAAGCAGCACGCACACGGGATGCTGGTGTTGAAGGCAGCCGCTTAACCCGCTTCGCCACAACGCTGGCTGCACCATCTTAACCATTTTAAAGTGTACATTTGAGTAGTGACAAGTACTCAACAACCATGTTGAGTCATGTTAACCAGTGTCCAGAACTCCTTTCTTCTTGTAAAACAGGATTCTTAATAAAAACAGACAAGCTCTACCTTCCCTCGGCCCCTGGCTTATTTCACTCTGTATCTTGTCCTCAAGGTTTGTCCCCTTTGTAGGCTGTGCCAGAGTTTCATTCTTGTAGAAAGCAGAATATTACATGGTGAGTGTGTGTTTGTATCAGGTTTGCTTTCTCCATCTGTCCATGGATACTTGAATTGCTTCCCCCTTCAGGCTGTTGGGAGTAATGCCACGAGTATGGCTGTACAAAGATTTTTTGAGAATGTGCTTTGAATTTTGGGTATATACCCGGAAATGGAATCGGTGGATCCTATGGTCATTATCTTTTCAATTTCTTGTCTTCCATAACTGCAGTACCATTTTACATTCTCAGCAACAACACATGAGCTGTTTTTTTTTTTTTTTAAATGGTAGCCACCCTAATGAGTGCGAGGTTATGATGTCATGGTTTTGATCTGCTTTCTCTGAAAGACTAGTGATGTTGCACGCCTTTCAGTGTACTTGTTGACAATGGGTTTATCTTTGGAAAAGTGTGTATCCAAGTCCTTCGCCCTTTAAATTCATAAAACAAATGCACACACTCACACACTGGGAGTACACACACACAGTATCATCTACTGGTTCACTCCTCGAGTGCCTTCAACAACCTGGACTGCACCGGCGCAAAGCGAGGAGCAGGGAGTTCAATCCAGGTCTCCCATTTGGGCTGCAAAAAGTTACTTCAGCCGTTGCCAATGCTTCCCAGGGTCTGGATTAGCATGGAGTACTAATGATGAATACTCTGATGTGGGATGTGGCCTCTTTATTGATTTTGAAATAAGCCTTTAAAAAAAAGAGGGAGAGACAGATCTTCCATCTACTGGCTAACTCCCCAGATGGCCACAATGGCCAGGCTGAAGCCAGGAGCTTCATTCACATGTGTGTTACATGGGTGCAGAGGCCCAAACACTTGGGTCATCTTCAGCTGCTTTCCCAGGCAAATTACCAGGAAGCTGGATTGAAGTGGAGCAGCCGGGACTCGAATCTGTGATCATATGGAATGTTGGCACTGCAGGTAGCAGCTCTACCTGCTATGCCACGGTGCCAGCCTCGAGGTGTTATTTTTATGTTCTAGTTATTCATCTCTTAGCAAATTTGATTTGTGTTTCCTCCTATCCTATAGCATCTTTATTCTGTTGATAGTGCCCTTTGCATAGGAATTTTTAATTTTGATGTAGTTCAGTTTATTTTTGTTGCCTTTGATTTTGGTGTCAAGTGCAATGCCTTTTGTAGACAAGTTGAGTTAGAATTCACAGATGATAAAACTCCTTTAAAATGTGAAGTTCAGAGGGTTTTAGTGTATGGACAGAGCTGTACAATCCTAACCCCTATTGAACTACAAAAAATAAATACCATTAACTTACAGCTCTTTTGCGGATTGTGTTGCAAAGGGATTTTGTTTTAAGCCTGACTTACTGGATAGAACACAAAAAGCCATTTTTAAAGAGGATATTTTGGGGCTGGTGCTGTAACATAGCGGGTAAAGCTATTGCCTGCAGTGCTGGCATCCCAAATGGGCGCCGATTCAAGTCCTGGCTGTACCACTTGGGATCCTGCTCTCTGCTGTGGCCTGGGAAAGCAGTGGAAGAAGGCCCAAGTCCTTGGGCCCCTGCACCCACGTGGAACACCTGGAAGAAGCTCTGGGCTCCTGGCTACGGATTGGCCCAGCTCCAGCTCTTGTGGTCATTTGGGGAGTGAACCAGTGGATGGAAGACCTCTGACTCTCACGCTCTCTGCTTTGCCTCTTAGTGCTTGGGTAATTTTAGTGAAGTTTCCTTCTAATTTAGTCAAAGTGAAAGTAAAACAGGTAAATAATATATTTTTCCCCTCAGCTTTATTGACAGATAATAATGTATCATTAGATATACGCTGTGATGTTTTATTATACCTGTATACTGAGTTTCTGGAAAGTTCTCTCTAGCATGTATTGTCCTCCCCAAGAAACAGTTCATACAAGATTGTCTTTCGTTGAGTGAGTACTTTGGTAGTCTGAAGGTGGCCGTAGGCAATAGAACTGAATGGGTGTGGCCATGTTCACTGTAGGCTTAAGTAACAGAAGCAGTCAGCAGGAGTGACTTTTGTCCAAGTTAGTATTTTATTGGCCCCAGACGAGTTCAGAAAGCCCATGGGAAATTGTATTGTAAAAACCACACAGGGACTCCAAAAGTGTCTTTGCATCAAATTGAACTTCGAATTCCATTTTTGGAATGAACTTAAAACTTTGTATCTGAGAGGTACAGAGATGCATCACTGACTTGATTGTCAAATGTCTGTCACACCCAGGGCCGGACCAGGGGAATTCAACCCCAAGGTCCCCTGTCACTTAAGCCTTCACTGTCTCCATGGGTCTGCATTGGTGGGAAGTTGGAGTGAGGAGCCAGAGCTGAGACTGGAGCCGAGAGGGGACAAAGATGCCTTAACTGGCAGGCTACACACCTCTTCCTCAGACTTCTTGAAGCACCCTTTTACGTTGTCTCACTGGCTTCTCATATTTCATGAGGTTACGGTGGGGCAGTTATTATCCTGCCAATGTAGTTTCCATTATAACATCCATTATGATACTCCATTATCAATGTACTTTCCATTGCAACAGACAGACTAAGGAAGATACTGTCATACCTTGGGCAAAATCGCAGTCATTCTCTAACTTTGTAACTTGGATTTAAAATAGCTATTGTTTTCACTGGTTTTACAAAGGTTTTGTGGATAGGAAGTTGAATATTGGCTTGTGAAATTTTATTTTTCCTTTGGCTTTGCTTATTCTATAAAAAGAATGATGCTGGAATCCAGCACTTGGGGGTGGAATTTTTTTTTAACTTCTAATCAGGCAAATAGCTTACATTGGTCTCATTTCTGCTTACTGCTCAGGAGCTGGTGATGCTATTTTATTGTTTGTGAAAAGCTGGCTGACAGATGGAAAACTTCATTCTCTATGAGGAGATTGGCAGAGGAAGCAAGACGGTTGTGTATAAAGGGCGGCGGAAGGGAACCATCAATTTCGTAGCCATTCTCTGTACTGAGAAGTGCAAAAGGCCCGAAATAACCAACTGGGTAAGTCAAGTGCATTCCCGTCTGTCTGGGGAGATGGAACTACGGTCAGGTAGGAAAGGCAGCTTTCTGTTTAATTCCACAGTCCTGAATAATGAGGAATATCCAAGTCATGACCGGCCTAGATTGGATTTTGTTCTTTGCTTTTCTGGCACAAGGGAAACTATTGATAGTTTATTTTATTTTTTTTATTATTATTTTTATTGTTTGACAGGCAGAGTGGACAGTGAGAGAGACAGAGAGAAAGGTCTTCCTTTGCCGTTGGTTCACCCCACAATGGCCTCTGTGGCCGGCGCACCGTGGTGATCCGAAGCCAGGAGCCAGGTGCTTCTCCTGGTCTCCCATGTGGGTGCAGGGCCCAAGGACTTGGGCCATCCTCCACTGCACTCCCTGGCCACAGCAGAGAGCTGGCCTGGAAGAGGGGCAACCGGGACAGAATCCGGTGCCCCGACCAGGACTAGAACCCGGTGTGCCGGCGCCGCAAGGCGGAGGATTAGCCTAGTGAGCCGCGGCGCTGGCCGGACAGTTCATGTTAAAATGCAGTGCATGGGGTGGACTTCCGGTGCGGTGGTGGAGATGCTGCTTGGGACCCGGGCTGGAGTTGAAGTCCCGGCTCTGATTCAGCTCCAGCTTCCTGTTAGCAGGCACCTTGCGGGGCAGCAGGTGAAGACTTGGGTAGCTTCCTCCCTGCCACCCACATGGGAGACCTGGTGTGAGTTCCTGGCTCCTGGCTTTAACTCTTGAGGGCATTTGAGCAGTGAACCAGCAAATGAGCAATTTCCTTTTTTTTTTTTTTTTCCTACCTTTCTAACACATTTATTGGAGGGTGAACCAACGGCAAAAGGAAGACCTTTCTCTGTCTCTCTCTCACTATCCACTCTGGCTGTCAAAAAAAAAAAAGTTAAATATATGACGACGAACCTTTTAAAGAAGGGACAGTGAATAAGTGACTTGGCTTTGAAGTAGCTGTGTCAACTTTACAGCCCAGGCTTCCTGGCTCATAGTAACACTTTTTTTTTTTTTTGAGCTTGTAAAGCAAACATAACATAAAATTTGCTACCATAATGATTTTAATTGTGTGGTCTAACGCTCATAACTACATTCATATTGTTACACAATCATTGCCACCCTCCATCTCCATGAGTCTTAATCTTTTAAATCTAAACTCCATGGCCACTCAGAAATAACCCATTCCCACCTCCCCCCAACCCCGGCAACTACCATTCCGCCATATGGCTCTAGGATTAGGACTACTTGTGTAACTGGTGTCAATGTGTTTTTGTGACTGGCTAACTTAACATGGTGTCCTCAGAGTTTATCCGTGCTGTAGCGTGTCAGAATCTCCTCCTTTTTAAGGTTGGGTCGTATGAACATACTGCATTTCCTTCCATGTTTTAACGTTGTGGATAATAATGGCTATGAATCTACATGTACAAATGGCTCCTGCTTTGCTTTCTTTTGGGTTCATTCCCACAAGAGCTGTCGCTGGATCCTACTTGGTAATTCTATTGTTAATATTTTGAGAGCATATTTTGTTTAGACAGAGATCTTCCATCCGCTGGTTCACTTACCAAACGGCTGCAACAGCGGGAGCTGGGCTGATCCGAAGTCAGCAACTTCTTCCCCGTCTCCCACATGGATGCAGGAGCATAAGCACTTGGCGGATGTTCCACTGCTTTCTCAGGCCATAGCAGGGAGCTGGATTGGAAGTGGAGCATCTGGGATTGGAACCTGCGCCAGGTGGCGGCTTTACCTGCTATGCCACAGCATCGGTCCCTCTTCCTTTCTGTTTTAAGAGATTCATGTACTATTTAATGACATTGATCTCACAGTGGAAAAATCAATAAATTTCTGATGAGATAAAGTATACTGAGGAACATGTGTAACATGACTTTATAATCAAATTTGTTCTTGATTTCACTGCAGAATTCACTGGCCCTGAAGAAACTTAACACAGAAATAGTTGCGAAGACCAAGAATAAGGAATATAAAGAAATTCCTAAACATAGTTGTCAAATGATTTTCAAATACTAAATTCAGTATTCAAGTGGTAAACCCATTCATTTAATGATGGGTCCATTTCACACTGAATTTGAGCCACAGCACGTGGTCCTCCTCTACAGTGAGGACCACCAAAAATTTTGCTTTGACATGTATCTCATGTTACACTGTACACTGCAAAATTTTCAGTTCAGTAGACTCACTGAGATGATACATAAACAATATACAGGAATGTTATTCATGAAATATCAACTTTCTAGTTCAAGTTTTTGCTTAGTAATTGTGCTGTGATTGCTTTAGATGGTCTAAAGTAGCTAGAACTTTGGGCACAAGCATTCTTCCATCATAGTATTCACAACGTGTAATGGAATTATTAATAACCCACCTAAATGTGGAAGAAAGGTGCCAAACAGGAACAATAGTGGAATGGGAAAGCAAAACACCTGTGTATTTTCATTAACAAGGCCTGAAACATGGAATTTCAGCAACTGCATTTCTTTGAGTACCTACAAATCCTGACAGAGGCCTGAGATGAGTGTTCTTAGAATAAGACTGTTTTGACTCACAGCACACTTCAAAGGTAAAAAACTTTTTTTTTTTTCATAAAGAAAGCTTAGAATCATGAAAAAATTTTTCGTACAACACAAACTCAGCCTGGTTTTGTCTGGGAGGGGCTGTTGACTTGGTTTAATTGTCAAACATCGATTTGCCTCAATAGTTCAGGGAAGGTGGAGGTGGGCCTAGTGGAAGTCCCCAGTACAACAGTACATTTTGATTTGAGTGTAGTTGTTGCTTATTACGTGACCAGATTACAAAAATACCGTAGCAGACACCATGGTTCATCCTTCTGATAAGCCTGTTGATTGGGTCTTGGCTGTCGCCTGCATCTCCACCCTCTGCAAAATGGGTGATGTTTTCCTTCTTTCCACCTTGTGGAGAAGATAAACCGGAAGTGTATTCCAGCAGTGTGCATCTCGTGAATCACATCCTGCATGCGTGTACCAAGAGAACGGGCAGTCAGTGTTACTGGTCAAGGGATTTTGCCATAGCCACACTTGTCAATGAGTTCACTTACTGACTTCAGATTCGGGTATCCCCGTGCGGTACGTGGTTCCACAGTCCTCAGCATGTGAATCGAAGCCTTGCTGAGCTTAACAAAGCAGAACCAATGAAGGCAAAGAAGGTACAACACACTTTGGACCTTGTGGCTTGCACTATTGATAGGTCTGATTGGGGTGACAAACCCCAATTTGGATTCTGCAGTTGTAAAGAAGTTGCAAGCTTTCCTTGACATCCGGATTTCAGTTCTGTACATCTGCCTGTATTCCTTGTGATAGTGCTTAGCTTTTGCATAGATGGCTTCTCCTTGCCTTTTGAAGCGTCTTGGGTAAACTTCTTTCTCGGGTGTTTGATCTTCAGCTGAGTAAAAGTCCTTTGCTTTTTCTTAAGGGTTTCTGGCATAGCGGGAACCTTTTTTTTTTTTTTAATACCTCCCATGGTTCCATTCGGAAGAGAGGAATTTAGCAAATAAACTTATTTTTAGGGGCCAGCACTATGGCGCAGCATGTTAATGCCCTGGCCTGAAGGGTAGGCATCCCATATGGCCCATATGGTCGCCAGTTCAGGACCCGGCTGCTCCACTTCCGATCCAGCTCTCTGCTATAGCCTTGGAAAGCAGTAGAAGATGGGACTTGGGCCCCTGCACCTGCATGGGAGACCTGGAAGAAGCTAGCTACTGGCTTCCAATCGGCACAGCTCCAGGCATTGCAGCCAATTGGGAAGTGAACCAATGGAAGGAAGACCTCTCTATCGGTCTCTCCCTCTCACTGTCTGTGACTCTACCTCTCAAATAAATAAAATCTTTAAAAATCTAGGTAAGAGTCAGGAGCTAGAGCTGAGAAGCAAAACCAGGATGTGGGATGTGAGCACCTCAGTTACTTGGCCACCCACACAGCTCCAGACCATTTTCCACACTGTACATTTGAACATTTCCACCAACAGTGCACAAAGGTACAGAAATCATCACCAGTGTTTGATGATAGTAGCTCTCCCAGTGGATGTCAAATATCTTTTTTTTTTTAACAGGCAGAGTTAGAGAAAGGTCTTCCTTCCGTTGGTTCACCCCACAAAATGGCCGCTACGGCTGGTGCGCTGCGCCAATCTGGAGCCAGAAGCCAGGTGCTTCCTCCTGGTCTCCCATGTGGGTGCAGGGCCCAAGCACTTGGGCCATCCTCCACTGCCCTCCCGGGCCACAGCAGAGAGCTGGCCTGGAAGAGGAGCAACCGGGACAGAATCCGGGGCTCCGACCAGGACTACAACCTGGTGTGCCAGCGATGCAGGTGGAGGATTAGCCTAGTGAGCCGTGGTGCTGGCCTGATATCTTTTTGTTTTGATTTGTATTTCCCTAATGACTGGTGATGGTGTCTTCTCATTTCCTATTGACAATTTGTGCAGCTTTTTGCAGAAATATATATTCAGTCCTGTGCCTATTTTAAGATTTTATTTAAAAGTCACAGAAGCAGAGAGGGAGAGGTCTTCCATCTGCTGGTTCACTCCCCAGATGGCCGCAGTGGTCGGAGCTGTGCCAACCTGCAAGCCAGGAGCTGCTGCTCGTCTCCCACATGGACTTGGGCCATCCTCTGCTGTTCTCCTAGGCCATACAGAGAGCTGGTTCAGAAGTGGAGCAGCCAGGACTCAAACCACTCCCTGTATGGGATGCTGGCACTGCAGATGGTAGCCCCGTGCCTGTTTTCTGATCTGATTGTTTTCTCACTGAGTCTTACGAGTTGCTGTATTCTACAGAGCTGAAGTCTTAGCAGATACTTCATTTTCAGATGTTCTGCTATTCTGTAGCTTGCTTTCATTATATTGATAGTTGGGTTTGCTATATAAAATTTTATTTGTTAGAAATTCCAGTTCATCTCTTTTTTTTTTATTTGTCCACACTTTTGTTGTCACACCCCAAAATAGTTAGCAAATCCAGCAATGAAAGATTTTTTTTTTTAAAGATTTATTTATTTGATAGGCAGAAGTAGGCAGAGAGGGAGAGAGAGGTCTTCCATCCGCTGGTGCAACCCCCAGAAAGTTAAAATGGCCGGAGTTGAGCCGATCAAAAGCCAGGAGGCAGGAGCTTCCCCTGGGCCCCCCACACAGGTGCAGGAGCCTAAGGGCTTGGCCCATTCTCCACTGCATTCCCAGAGAGCTGGATTGGAAGCTGAGCAGCCAGGACTCAAATCGGCGTCCGTGGCAGCCTCACCTGCTAAGCCACAGTGCTGGTCCCTGTCATGTGTTTCCTGAGTTACATAGTTTTGACTTTTCTTCAGTGTGTGTATTTACATCTTTGATCAATTTTAAGTTAATTTTTACGAAGTGTTTTAGACAAGCATACAGCTTCATTTTTTTTTTTTGGTATGTGGATATTCAGTTTTCATAGCACCATTTATTAAAAAAAAAACTGTCTATAGTGATGCTTGTAGGTTTGTGGGAAATTTTATAGCAAAATGTGAGTCTTCCTGCTTGCTGCTCTTTTTTGAGGTTGTTTTTGGTGACTTGGTGTACTGTGCAAGGCCATATCAGTTTTTGAATGAATTTTGGTAGGGATTGTGTTGCCTGTGTAGGTTGCTTTGGATAGTATTGACATCTTAACAATTTTACATCTTCCAATCCATGAGCATGGGGTGTTTCTATCTATTTATGTTGTTTTAAAATTCCTTTCAACATTGTTTTGCGATTTTTCATCTTAAGGTTCTTTCACATCTTTGAGATTAATTCCTGTGTGTTTCAGTCTTTTTGATGCTCTTATAAATGGAGCTGTTTACTTAATTTTGTTTTTGTCTTGTTTGTGTAGCTAATTTTGAGTGTTGACTTGGAATCTTGTTTTGCCTTATTCTCTGTGTGTATGTAATCTTTAGGGTTTTCTACATAAAAGATCAGTCCATATCCTGATTGATTTATTTCTTCATTGCCCTTTAGGAAGAAAAATAGAATTGTGTTTCTTGACTCATTGTTCTGGTTAGGACTTCTAGGACTATGCTATAGACCAGTGGTGAAAGTGTGTATTCTTGCTTTATTCCTGCTCTTAAAGGAAGAGCTTACAGTCTTTCACCATTGAATATGCTGTTTGGTTTGGGTTTTTCATATATGCCTTTTATTAAGTTGAAAGTTTGCTTTGATTCCTAGTTTGTAGAGTGTTTTTTTTTTTTTTTCCCATGAGTTTTGTAACTGATTTTCCTGAATTAGTTTACAGGGTCATCTCTTTTTTTTTTTTTTTTTTGTTCATTCCGTTAATGGATACATTACATTGACTTTTTTTTTTTTGTACATGAAACTATCCATGTATTTCAAGAATACATCCAGTTGGTCGTGTTGGATAATCTTTTTAATACGCTGTTGAGCTCAGTTTGCTAGTACTGTGTCTTTGGACATACTTAGCTTTCAATAAAATAATACAGTAGAACACTTAGCAGGAGACCTGATAGCTGGTAAGCACTTTTTTTTTTTTTTAATAAGATTTATTTTGAAAGAGATGTGGGGGAGAAAGAAGGAAAAGGGAATGATTTTCGATTGTTGGTTCACTCCCTAGATGGCAGCAACAGCAGGAGCTTCATCTGGGTCTCCCATGTGGATGGCAGGAACCCAAACACTTGTGCCATCTTGTGCTTTTCCTTGGCCTTTAGCAGAGAGCTGGATTGGAAGTGCAGCAGCTGGGACATGAACTGGTGCCCATAGAGGATAATGGTGTTTTCAGGCAGGGGTTTTACCCTTTACACCACAACACCAGCCCCCAGTCCTCTATATCTTGATGGTTCTTATTAGGTCATAGTCATTAATGGAACAAGAAATTCAGAGAGAATAGAGAGGGAAATGATCAGAACTGCACAAGATTTAGGAGGCGAGAGGTAACTTCATATATAGGAGGGAAGGATTGAGAGGAGACAGAAAATGATAGTGTCCGTGGCTAAGGAAAGGCCACTCATATCTGTGGTTCCTGAGGGAAAGAACCCAGCAAAGCCTCTGCTTCCTCGAAGATTCACGTGTTCACTTTGAACTCCAAGGCTGTGATGGAGGGTGAAGTGATAGGTCAGAGGCAGATCCTGTCCTTGCAAGAGAATGGTATAGCAAGATTAGGGGTCAAGGTCCTTATCTTGATGCTTGTCCAAATCCCTGCCTTCCAGGTCTCTTAGACCTTGGACACTCTGAGGTCCCAGACCTAGACGAAGCATTTCAAGTTCATATCTGACTACTCTGAGTATTGTTAGGTTTCAGCCACTGGGTGGGTAGTTTCACTCTCCTCAATTACCTTTGTCCTTATCATCCTGATTCAGCTCAGGTCAGATATGTTAAATGAAGCACCCATCTTCTGTGAGGAGCCAGCAGAGCTAGACGAAGAGACAGTTAGATGAGGAGAAGTTTGCCTGCCCTGCCTCCCTTCTCCTCGGTTCTATCTAGCATGCATAGTCATGCCCCTTGCTGGCTGCTCTTGGCTGCTACTGTGAAACCCTTCGTCTTTTTTTTTTTTTTTTGAAAACTTTTATTTAATAAATATAAATTTCGAAAGTACAGCTTTTGGATTATAGCAGT